GAACAAAAGAAAGGCCATGGCTGCCTCTGGGTTCTTCTAGGCTGGGACTGATGCTGAGGGATGGTTTGTGGCCGGCATCACTCTTTTGAGGCTAGAGCCCCAAGCTTTGTGCTTTGTCGGAGGCCCTTATGGCAACGTCCAAGCAAGAATTCCAGAGTCACCCAGAGCAGGGAGAAGGGAATGGCACCTTCAATCGCTATTAGAAAGGGCTAGATATTTCTATATATAAACTGGTCTGTAACACTGTCCACTTCCCACCATCACCATCATCTCATCTCTTCTTTAGTGTATGCAGGTGGTCTTTTGGTGACTCTCATCCTAACTTTCCATCTCCTAATCTATTCCCTCTTGGCTATGGCTCTAAAAAAAAAAAAGGGACTGGTTTAAAGCAACAGTTTACCCTGGCTGATTTGGCTCAGTGGATTGAACAGCGGCCTGCAAACCATAGGGTGGCTAGTTTGATTCCCAGCCAGGGCATGTGCCTGGTTTGTAGGCCAAGTCCCCACTTGGGTGCATGAGAGGCAACCACACATTGTGTCTCTCCCTGTCTTTCTCCCTTCCTTCCTCTTTGTCTAAAAATAAACAAAAATAAAATATTTTTTAAAAGAAAAAGCAACAGTTTACTTGGTTTATACATACCTATTTTGAAAAATATACTAAAAGACCAGAACACAGTTATGACTTTTAGTTTATCTGCATGTTTCTCTTATTTCATACTTTTATATAAATTCGCTTAAGGATATATTATTAAAAATTACAGAAATGTTGAATCCAGCTTAATCCTTATGGATCTACTTTATAAGATTTCCCTTAATAATAATTCTTTCTAGGCTAAATGAAATTTCCAGTATGTTTCGACTAAAAAAAACTGGATTTTTTTTCCCAATATGAACGACAAAAATTTCAGAAAGAGCCCCCCTGCCTGGTGTGGCTCAGTGGATTGAGCGCTGGCCTGCAAACCCAAAAGGTCGCAGGTTTGATTCCAGTCTGGGCACATGCTTGGGTGTCAGGCCATGCCCATGGTTGGGGGCATGCAAGAGGCAACCAATCAATGTTTCTCTTGCACATTGGTGTTTATTTCCCTCTGTTTCTCTCTCTTTTCCTCGTTCTCTAAAAAAATAAACAAAGTCTAAAATTTTCGAGACAAAAAAGCATTGGTTAATTCATCTGGAAGTCAATTGAGAAAGGCCGGGCACGTGCACCAAGCATCCCACTTTCTTTTAATAACCTGGTAGGGCTTATGATCTATAGATTTAAACCCATCTTGAACCTGTATGTGTTTTCAGCTTGTACTTTGTTTCTTGATTGCATTTCACATAGTTTACCTCCCACTGGGTAGACTTTTATTTGTCATTAAACTATGGTACATCTTTTAAGTACTTCAGGTAGCTCTTAGCAATTTGGGAGCTAAAACTTAAAGGGGGTTCTACAAGTGGCAGAAACTAACTCTCAACCTAATAATTTCTATCCTCAACTAACATGTTCTGAGCAAATAGGTATTTTCTTTTAAATTATTCTATTCTCCCCTAATCAACATGTCCCTTTTGAGGGTGGAGGTTGGTTGTTACCAACATCCAATGGGAAATCCCAGATCTGAAGCAATTTAGCCAACAGCTGAAAAAGCACAGTCCCTGTTTTAAAGTCTTTACAAAAAAATTTGATTCTCCTGTGGCTTATGAACACTTCTCATTTTGGGTCTCTCTGTACTTGATGGAACATCTCTTTGGTTCTTAAATGTGGTGCCAAGTATAACATTTAAAAGGGCTGGCCGAATATTACAGTTTTTGACCTCATTAGAAATCTTGCTCACTTTGAAAAAAAGGAGAGAGGGTATTAAAATGCACTATGAGGCTCGTGACATTTTTGAGAGTAAGATTTTCATCCTGAGATGGTATTTTCTGCAGTAGCCACTGGACTTTCTTCCCTCACCAAGAGCTTCCTGTTATTTTGGATTTTTACCAGCAGGTTAAAATAATCAAGGTGGGGGGGAGTTATGGATGTTTACAAAATTCCCAGCTTGGCCCTAGAGCATTCGACATTTATGACCTTCTTGCCTTTTCTTCTCCTTAGATCAGTAGTTCTCAAACAGGAGTGATTTAGGGCCTCAGAAGACATTTGGCAATGTCTAGAGACATTTTGGGGTGTCACACGTGAGGGTGGTGGTGTGCTACCGGCATCTAGTTGATAAGAGGCCAGGGATGCTGCTGAACCTACCACAATGCACAGATAGCCCTCTCCCACCTCCCAAAGAAATTATTCACCCAAAAATGCCAGTAATGCTGAAGCTGAGAAACTCTGGTCTAGACTTTGAAGCCTTGTTAAATCGAGGACTTGGAAAGAGGTGAGGACAGTCTTTTAATGTGGTCCCAGGAGTCATTAACCACTGCTTTCAGTTCTGTGTCTATGGAAAACATGAGAGGAAACAATCATCATATCTTCCATTTATTGAGTGTCATGTACTAAGTGTTGGAATTATTTTCATTTAATCTTCAAAATAAACCTTACCAACTATACACTTTTTGAAACTGGGGTCCATGTCTGTTTCTGTCATTACAGTACATTTTATGTCTAGTACAGTGCCTGGCACATGGCAGGCCTTCAGCGTTTGGATATCTATTTTACACATGAGAAAAATGAGGCCTGAAAGTCCACACAGCTAATGTAAGTAGCAGAGTCAGGATTTGAACTGACCCTGGTTGACTTCACCAAATTGCATATTCACTGAATTATATCCTTCACTTGAAGCACCGGAGAGGTTTTCTAGCCTTTAAAACCCCTATTGAGGGGCGGGAGAGAAGAAAGGAGGTTAATAAAACCTCTGCGTGGAAACCGAAGTGGAAGAAGGGCCTTATGAAGCCATCTCTGGTTCTGATAGGACCTTCCTTCGTTTCTGAACAGTGACTTTGGCTTTTCAAGTGTTTCTGTTTGTGCTGTCCGAGCAGCACATTTTGCAGAGTGAGAAACTGAGGCACAGAGGTTAGTTGAGTAGTAGATGATAGATGACTTGGAAGTTCGAAAAAAGAATGCTCCAGCTCTTGTGTACCCGCTGGGAGTCGTTGACAAAAGGGCTTTTTGGGAGTAGACACTCAGCTAACTCAAATCCTTCCTGAAAGACACAAAATTCAGAGAACTTCTTAGTGTTTCTACCCTGGGTAGACAAGCCAAGCTGGACTACACGTCCCAGTGGCCCTTACGGAATTGGGCAGGGCGCAAGAGGACCAAAGCCGAGTGCACACTACAATTCCCGGCGTGCGGTGGGCGGGGCCGGACTACATTTCCCAGGAGGCAGAGGAGGGGGCGGGAGGGGGCGGGCCGCGGGGGCTGCTCCCGCCCCTCCCCCGTGCTCGCGCGGAGAGGTAAACAAACCGCGCGCGGGCTGCCGGCTGCGCGGCCGGTGCAGTGGGGCGACAGGCGCGACGGGACCTGGGGGCGGTGGACAGCGCGCCTAGCTGCGGCCGGGCTGGGCAGCCCGCCCGCCGCGCATGTCCCGGGGAGGTGCTGGACTGTACTGGCTGCGGCGCCTCCTGTCGGCCGGGGAAGGGAGCGCGGGGCGGCCCTGGTAGCCGCCGCGGTGCCCATGGAGCGAGTGCGGATGATCAACGTGCAGCGCCTGCTGGAGGCGGCGGAGTTTTTGGAGCGTCGGGACCGAGGTAACGGCTGGGCACCACCGCCGGACCCCGAATCTGCTCCGCGTGGGGATTGCGGTGCGGCGTGTGAAGGGTGCGCGTGTGAGAGGAGGTGCGCGTGTGAGAAAGGGGTGTGCGCATGTAAGGGGAGGTGCGCTTGTGAGCGGAGGGGTGTGCTCGTGCGAGGGGAGATGCCTCTGTGAGGACGCGTGTGTGCGTGAGGTGTTTGCGCCTGTGAGGGGAGGTGCGCGCCTGAGGAGGGTGCACCTGTGAGTGCGCGTGTGAGGGGAGGTGCGCGCCTGAGGGGAGGTGCGCGTGTGAGGAGTGTTGCACGCGTGAAGAGGGGTGTGCGCGTGTGAGGGGAGGTGTTTTTGTAAGGTGTGTGCACCTGTGAGGGGGTGCGCGTGGGGCGGGGAGGTGCGCGTGTGAGGAGGGGTGCGTGCATGAGGAGGGTGCACGCGTGAGCGGAGATGCTGGTGTAAGGAAGGGCGCACAGGTGAGGAGGGGTGTGCGCGTGTGAGGAGGGCGTGCGTGTGAGGGGGCGTATGTGAGGTGCCCGCGAGTGTGAGGACGGTTGCTTCGGGAGTGGGGGCGCACCTGTGAGGAGGAGCGTGCGTGTGTGAGGGAGGTGCGCGGGCGAATAGGGGAGCACGTGTAAGGGTGGCCGCGCGTGCGTTTGTGGGGGGAGGTGCACGCAGGTGTGTGTGCGGGCGGGAGGGGCCGAGCGTGAGGACGGCGGGGGACCGGAGAGGAGAAGATGGGGGCACGGGAGGGGAATGCGACGGGCGGGCGGCTCACACTGTGGGGCAGCGAACCGTCGGGCGTCCGGGTGCGGTGACTCGGGTCCCCTCAGGGACGACACTGGAGGCTGTGCGAAGAGAGGCTGCGAGGAGGAGGAACTCCGGGGAGGGTGGTGTCGGGAGGGAAATGTCCTGCCAAGGCGGGGTGATCGAATTGAATTACGTGAAAGTTGTGGGGCTCGGGGGACGCTCTCCAGAATACACAGAGTTAAAGGAAAAGGGGAATTTTGGAGTGAGTGAAATATTGAGGTGAGTGGTCATTGGGCTCAGCAATTAGGGTGTTTAAGTCCAGAATTCTTGGAGAAAAGGATTTCGTAGAGGGATAGATGATTTAGAGCAGGTACCCGTACACCTTTCAGGCGCGTGCGTGGTTGGGTCTGCATGTAATGTCTCAGGATTGGTGTCCAGGGAAGGACTGGAGACTATTCTAACTCAACCGAAAAGAGTGGAAAAGTATGACCTCTTTTTTTCCGTTTTAGTAACCTGTTACTCTGAAGACTTCGGATTTGTGGATCCATGGATTTGGGTATATCTCTCTTACCGTATCTTTTTTTTTTTCTTGCTGTCTCTTTAGAGTGTGAACATGGCTACGCCTCAACGTTTCCCTCCATGCCGAGCCCCCGGCTGCAGCATTCAAAGCCCCCACGGAGGTTGAGCCGGGCGCAGAAACACAGCAGTGGGAGCAGCAACACCAGCACTGCCAACAGGTAGCAAGTTGGGGAGGTTCAGGAAGGACAGTGGAGGGAGGGAGCGCACGCTCAGGCAGACGTGCCTCTAATACCAAGTCTGGAGCAACACTGAAAGCCAAATGGGTTCCTTCACCACCGCCTCTGGGGAATGGCCCTTTTAAAATAACGAAGCCTAGGAGTAACCCAAATCTGTGTGGAAGGGAAGGAATAGAATCTGGAAAGACAACCGAAGAAGTTCTTGCTGGGACTGTTAAGTGGGGAGGTCTGTGATTTAAATGGACAGTAAGTGGAGAGGCTTTGTAGTGTGTCTGTGCATGCAACTCCATGCTAGAAGTAACTTGGGCCACTTTTAAACTTGGATGATCCAAGAATTTTTAAAATTCAAAAATATCTCACGAAGTATACAAAGCAGAATTAAGGGTTTTGTTAAAGGAGCAGAAATACTATTAGGTAAAACAGGAAGTTAGTGGGTATGATCTGTTTGTTGTTTAAGGATGAAGGGGAAGACTGCTATGAAAGTTTTGCCTTTTATTGAATGATAAGAATGAATTGCTAAGGGAGCCCTCCCCCCCAAAATTTATTATTTTTTAGAGAGAGGGGAAAGAAGGGAGGAAGGGAGAAACATTGATGTCTGGGAGAAACATCAATTGGCTTCCTCTGGCATGCCCCAACTGGGGACCTGGCCCCTAACCCAGGGATGTATGGGCAGGGAATTGACAACTCTTCACTCATAGGTCAGTACTCATTTCACTGAGCCACATGAGCCAGGGTAATAAGGGAGCTTTTAAAACAAATAAAGAGCCCTGGCTGGTATAGCTCAGTGGATTGAGTGTGGGTCTGTGAACCAAAGGGCGGCCGGGTCAATCCCCAGTCAGGGCACATGCCTGGGTTGTGGGCCAGGTCCCCCAGTAGGGAATATGTGAGAGACAGTCACACACTGATGTTTCTTTCCCTCTGTTTCTCCTTCCCTTCCCCTCTCTCTAAAAATAAATAAATAAAATATTAAATAATAATAAAGAAAAAAAGAAAGGTGCTTATATTCTAGTCAGAACAGATACCTAAAAAATATTTATCTGGATATACTCAAGATACAGTTGATTTCTGTTTTAAAAATGTTTTGGTAGTGTCTGGCTGTCTCTTCAATGAAATCTAAGGAGTCATCTTATGAAGTTTTCAAAAGTTTGTTTTAAAAGAAAATCAACAGATGCTACCTTTTGCATTGACGAGAGGAATTGAGACCTTTTTTCCTGATTCCCAAAGTTTTGTGTAGTGAATATAAACATACATTTTTGAGAGGGATAGGACAACCTCTGGGTAACTAAATTTGCTTGAAAGCTTTGGGAAACTCCAGACAGGTAGTTGGGTAGTCACCCAGGAAGGCAGCAGGACTAGGGGCTCTTCCTAATTGATGCAGAAAACCTGAAGCTCCTATAGATCACATTTAGAGCTCAGAAGGTTAGATCTTTTTTTGTTGTTGTTTTTAAAGATTTTATTTTTATTTTTAAACAGAGGGGAAGGGAGGGAGAAAGAGGAAAACATCAATGTGTGGTTGCCTCTCATGTACCCCTTCAGGGGACCTGACGTGGAACCCAGACATGTGCCCTGATCTGGGAATCGAATCTGTGACCCTTTGGTTCTCAGGATGGCACTCAGTCCACTGAGCCACACCAGCCAGGGTTAGATCTTTCTGTTTTGCATTTATTCTGCACTGAAGCAAAACTAGGATTCACCCTTTTTCTTTGATTCATCTTTAAAGCTGTATGTTTTCTCTAGGGGCTTCTTTTATTCTTTAAGACTATGTATTTTTTAAACTTAATTTTAAAAATAATTAGCTGTAAGCTTAGTGTGCCATATTTATTTGCATGTGTGGGCCTAGAGGGTTTGTCGTGGTATGGTAGGTTTGGGATGAAAATTATATAGTATGTTACATAGCATTTAAAAATGTAAGTATAAATTTTCTTGCTCTTGATAGTTTTTTCTGGTTAAGGTATGAACAATTAAGACCTGCAGTATATTCAGGAATTTATGGGTTTTTCAAGCCATGTGTGTATTTATAAAAAGTCTTTTTTTAATTTGGAGACTTGGGAAAAGTACCAGATAGGACAGCAGACCTAGGTTCTGTCATGCTATATGTATTTATTGTCTTTTTATCTTCTAGAAATCAGGTATATGATTACATTTTCTCTCTGTTCCTTACCATTCTTATTTGTAAAATGAGGGAATAAAGACTACATACTTCCCCAAGTCCTTTCTTCTCTGAAGTTCTATGACAGTGATTTATTGACAGTTTTAGAGATCAGTTACTATATTGGTGATTCACTGTACCACCCCATCATTGCAGAGGTGACATTTTTATTAACAACTCAAAGATTATAGAGCCATAAATAAATGTGAATTTCTAGATTTTGCCAATTATGTTACAGGTCATTAATGAGTCTTTGAGATCTTTTGACCCATACTTTGCTCAGCTTGTGGTTTTGACTAAGTGCTGTTTCTCTTTCATTCTAGTGTTCCTGTTAGGATTCTACTATTGTATGTGGGGCCACAGTGCTAGTTATTTGTATGTTTTAACATAGCATATCAGAAAATTTGTAGAACTACAAGCATGCCATTTTCTTACAGTACCCAAGGGAAAATAACTACATGTACATTGGACCACTTAAGACTAAGGAAGGTAAATTTTCATTGGGATATAAGTAGAAAGGGAGATTTTAGAATTTATTGTCTCAAGGTTTACTCATGTGTGGGATTTAGGCTGGGACCTATAGATAAAAACTAGTGTGTTAAGGTGAAACACTAGAAATTATTCCTCCTTACTATTTAATAAATTTGTTTCATGAAGTAGGGGAGCCAAGGATCAAATTCTAATACTGGGGTACTTGGAAAATAGTGTTGATAGTCCATTTGTAAGGGGAAACTGTAGACTTTCTGTTAGCTTTAAGCCTATTACTGCATTTAATAGAGATTTTTATTATACTGGTTACATAAAGCAGAAAGAAAGACGACTTGTAAAAATTTTTCATTTATTAGTCATCTGAAACGAGGAAAGGAATGGACTTGATGAACATATATATCTTACTTTCCTGATTAAAAAGCTACCTATGTGGAAGTTGCTGTTCCTGTTATGCATTTTGAATATTGGTTTTGTATGTCATAAAGTAACATTTGTTTTTTTGGTATGGTAGAATCTTTAAGACATAATGTTGGTTGACTTTTTCCTAATATTCTCAGGTGTGATAATATATTCCTGATATAAAATGTTACTTTATAAATTTATGTTGCTATTTGACTGATAATACTATAAATTCCTATTCTTCCTTTTCCCCAAGTCTTGAAATATTATTTTCACACAAGTACAAAGGAGAGAAAAAAAGTGATAGAGCATGATGTTACAAGCTTGTACCTTGAAAATCCCAGTGATTTTATCATTTGGAATCCTTTTAACTGATGTTTGGAATATACAACAATATACAAGGTCTGTCCAGAAAAAGTCCAACCATTGTTAATATAATAAGAATGGTTTGCTTGACCTGGCTGGTGTAGCTCAGTGGATTGAGTGGGAGCCTGCAAACCAGAGTATCAGGGTTCAGTTCCCAGTCAGGGCACATGCCTGGGTTGTAGGCCAGTTCCCAGCAGGGGACATATGAGTGGCAACCATACGTTGATATTTCTCTCCCTATCTCCTTCCCTTCCCCTCTAAAAATAAATAAAATCTTTTAAAAAATGGTTTGCTTGATATTGATGTAACCTGGCAGCCAAGGAGAGTGGTCTGGAATGTGCATGTGTGAACAATGATGACTTCACTATACTAGTCAGTGGGGGCAGTAGATGCCATTGAGTGCGCATGCGTACTATGTGGCCATCACATTCAAAATGCCTGAGGGAGTAGAGCAACGAATCTGCATCAGATTTTGCATTAAGCTTGAACATTCTTCCAGGGGAGCTATTCTGATGATTCAGAAGACTGCAGCTATGGGCAGCTGTGCCCACCCATGCATCACATCTGGTGCAGAGTTTTTTTGGCAAAATATTGAATCACCCAGGTCGTTCAACCCCCCTTGCAGCCCAGATTTGGTGCCCTGCAACTTCTAGCTTTTCCCAAAACTAAAATTACCGTTGAAAGGTAAGAGATTCAGGAAAATACAGTGGGGCAGCTGATGGTGATTGGGAGAACCGTGTGAGGTCCCAAGGTGCCTACTTTGAAGGGGACTGAGGTGTCGTTGTCCTGTATACAATGTTTCTTGTATCTTCTTCAGTAAATGTCTCTATTTTTCATATTACATGGCTGGATACCTTCTGGACAGACCTCATATAATTACTTTTAAATACATGGTCTACTTCACTGAATTTTTGGTTATGGCCTTCTGGCATACTTCCTAAAATCATCCTTGCAAAGATATTACTGCCATTAGAGAACCTGGCTACAAATGCTATCTGGCTTGTTTCAGAGCATCAGGTAAGCTGAAATTCCTAGCTGCTTGACTGTTTTGTCTCACAACTGAAAAAAATCTCAAGATCTGCCATCTTTAAAATTCTACTGACTCTATTCTATGTGTCTTCAGTGTGTAACACTGATTTCCTCCTAAGTATTTCTTCAATCTGCCTTCTGTCTTCATGAATACTCTTCTAATCTATGATACCATCATCTCTCATCTGGAAAACTGCCATAACCTAACTAGTATCCTTGTAACCACTCCTATCTGAAATATAATTCTAATGAATTATATTGGCTAATCTTTTTTCAATTTCAGTATACCATGTTTCCTCCCATATCTTTACATATACTCTCTGCTGGGAATCATTTTTTCTTCCCCTTTTGCCAAGCTGTCTCTGCCTAATAACTCTTAAGCTCAACCATAACTTCATCAGGACAGCTTTTCTTTATCTGCCAAAGTAAATCAGATGTTTACATGCCTCATGGCATCCTTATATTTCCTTCTTATAGCTTGCAGAAATACAGTTATCTGATTGTTTGATTAATTCTTATCTCATTTATTGGACTAAAAACTCCATGAAGG